TAATAACGCGTTTAGGGTGCTGGTGGTGCGGCCCCGCTTTTGTAGCGCATCAGGGATGTTTGCAGACGCGCACATAAATTGTTTTTACGCTACCATGCGTAAGAGGTGTGCATCTCTGGTAAGCAGAGTGAGGGCCAGCTCCAACAGTATCCTGAGCATGATCGCAAGCAGGCTGGACTGTGTATACATGGGTCGCTGTGGTGCCATCTCCCATGGGATGTTACGACAGTAATTCATTGTGATGTAAATATAACTACTAACATAGGTCTAAGTCTTATTAACAATTTATATGAGTCATGGTTACTTGCAATAAAAACATTATTATTATTATTAAAGGTCTAACATGTAATATTTTTAATATTAATCATTTTTTCTTACCAGTTACATTATCTGTCTTTTAAAGTAAGATAAAATTATGTATCAATTTTATTAATAGTAGTCAAAACATAGATAAACTAAAAAAAAAAAAAAACTAAAACTAAACTACGCTTTTTTGACAGTATTTATGAGAAAAATACTGATGATACCAAATGTTTACGCATATTAACTCAATTTCGAATATACCTATATTTATTAGAAGTTATTTGAAATTGTACACTTTTAATGAGAAAAGCCGATATATATTTTTTAACCATGAATATGTCCGTTGTGTAGATATTAACAAATTTATATAGTGCCTTGATGACACTTGACATGTGAATGCTAGTTTTATTGATCGATTCTATGGTGCAGTACGTAGCGTTGCTGCTGAATCGGGGATCGTGTATTCGATAATCACATACAAAATTCGTCCTAATCCATACATCAGCCCGCTGAGTTTCTCGCCGGATCTTCTCAGCGGGTCGCGATTCCGATCCGGTAGTAGATTCATTCGCGAAGCAGCTACTCTTGAGTTGTTAGGTCTCATTCGAAGGCGCTCGAGTAGCTGTTAGCAAATCCCACCCCTCCTGGCTGAGCCTTTGCTCGCCCACCTGTCCTGGTGAAGCTGGAAAGGCCTCAGGGCCACCTTCACCTTTATCTACATCACAGTAAAAGTGAAATATTTTACATTAAGTACTTAACTGGTGGTAGGACCTCTTGTGAGTCCACGCGGGTAAGTACCACCGCCTTACCTATTTCTGCCGTGAAGCAGTAATGCGTTTCGGTCTGAAGGGTGGGGCAGCCGTTGTAACTGTACTGAGATCTTGGAACTTATATCTCAAGGTGGGTGGCGCATTTACGTTGTGGATGTCTATGGGCTCCAGTAACCACTTAACACTAGGTGGGCTGTGAGCTCGTCCACCCAGCTAAGCAATAAAAAAATTTTTTATTTTATTAAATACATATTTATTGGTAAATGATTACCCGTGGCTTCGTTCGCGTGTTCAAAGAATAATAGCAGTGTAGTTTTAACGTGAAAATTACATGTTTATTAAATACTAGCGACCCGCCCTCGCTTCGCTTCGGAAACATTAAAACACATATGAAACAAAAAAAAAAAAAAAGTTGCCTATGTTCATCAGGGACAATGTCGGCTTCTAATGAAAAAATATTTTTTTAAATCGGTCCAGTAGTTTCGGAGCCTATTCGAAACAAACAAACAAACAAACAAACAAATCTTTCCTCTTTATAATATTAAGTATAGATAGTATAGATGTCACATTTGTCACAATTATACTATATCATTATTTTTTTTTTATTGCATAGTTAGGTGGACTAGCTCACACCCCACCTGGTGTTAAGTGGTTACTGGAGCCCATAGACATCTACAACATAAATGCGCCACCCACCTTGAGATATAAGTTCTAAGGTCTCAGGTATAGTTACAACGGCTGCCCCACCCTTCAAACCGAAACGCATTACTGCTTCACGGCAGAAATAGGCAGGGTGGTGGTACCTACCCGTGCGGAATCACAAGAGGTCCTACCACCAGTAAAAACTGCTGAAACACTACTGAACTAATACTGTCATTAAAAAAAAATCAATCAAGAAATCAAATCACATCAATCCGTTGTTTCGTTTTGTCGTGAACGAAGGATAAACAAACAAATATCCACATTTATATATAGTAGTATGGATATCTAGTTATCTACTAATACAAAATGCCTTTTTGACGTTTGAATAAATATTCAAAAATGTCAATCTACATATTACTAGTCGAAATTCGACTATAATTAATTGGAATTGTAAGTTTGTACACTATTATGATTGTATTTTATACTTCTATAATCACAAATTTCGCCAAGGCTACACTATAAAAAATATTAATAAAGACAAACAATATTTAATGTATTCTCAATTTGACAACAGACGTGAATAACAAAAGTTTGACAATAAATAGTATGCATGCGTGTGTGCGTCAAATACACTACATGTGTGTAATGTTTTCTTTATTGATTTAATGTATCTTTTATGCATTATTTTAAAAAAATATTAGCATTGTGCACTTCTTCTCTATATTCTCTATAAGTGTGGAAAATTTCATACTCCTCCGTCCGCGCAATTTTCGTAAAAAGGGACACAAATTTTTGCTTCACATATTAATATATAGATTATTTCATTCCGTGAGCCGTTAAGCTATTCTTGTGTTTAAATTTGGAATAGTAAACGTTCAATTCAAACGAACGCCAGGGAAGTAAAAAGTCTTAAATCTCAACGACATCTAGTTCGTAGATGTAAAAAAAAAAAACGAGTGCACAAAAACATTTCGCCATACAGATTTCAACGTAAAATTCCTGTTATGTTTTTTCCTGAGCGATAATGCTAATAAATTATAAATCACCACACAAAATAAAACGTAAACATATCAATAAAAAGTTGATCGTAACCAAAAACAAGTACGGCGGGAAATCACTTTTAATAGTACCTAAAGAAAGACTGGAGAAGAAAAAAATTAATAAAAAAAAGGAAATTTATGTTGACACTTCCACTCTTCCGATATTTTTATTGGTCAACGTTAAGAGCTAGGCCCATCTGATTGGTCGGTTTGAATAGGGTTCGAATGTTAGACAGAGACGGAGAATGACAAAGGTTGTTTCTTGTAAGTAAGAAAGGGACGGATAGACACTCGTCAAGCACTTACTGATAGAGCGTAGTGCTAGTGAGGTAAGGAAGTCGGTTGTTACGTTGTGATTGCAATGGTACAATAAGATTGATGTAAAATGGCTATTAAGGTATTATTTCGTTCATATTTTTTTTTACTTATAATACAGTACATTTAAATCTAAGGATGCCATTGATATTGTCATTGTTATCATGTAGATTTGTATGTCGATACAAAATACATTTTTATTTATTATTATAAATTTTGAAATGAGCAAAAATATGTTTAAACATAAAGAACTGAAAAATACATTTTATTAGATTTTCAAATAGTTTCATTGTCAGAAGAACCATCGCTAAATCTAGCAGTCACCAACCGTCTTCATCGAATAGAAATCGCATCACGAATATAGACATATAAAAACATAAAATGTACATGTTAAATAAAATAAAAATTAATTGCGTGGCTGTTCCAGAACCTTTAATATTCAAATTTTTACTTAATCTTTCTAATATAATTTGAGTTTCGATCTATTCGTATGCGTGCATTAAATTAAGGCACGCGTTTCTGTCCCGACTTATCATTTAAGCAGCTACTAGACAAGCCCCTTTCATCCGGTTTTTTCCAATTAAAATAAGTAATAAAAATCAGTTTTTTTACTTATGATTTACGCCATCTGTGATATAGTAGCTAGAATTTTATTTAAAGACGAATAATTTGAAAGATATACTTCTAGAATTGGATTTCAAATAGTTGTAATTTCAACTTAAATAATTATGTTTCATTAAACGAAGATTAAAGCTTTGTGTAAAGTATTTTCAATCAGTACCAGTAGCATACTGAAAGAGCTTATAAAAGTTGGGAGCTTATAAAAGCTCAGATTGTTCAATCATAAAAGTAAGACGTGTTTTTTTAATCCGATTCCTCAAAAATATTTACTATGTCATCACATTACTAATTGATCTGGTCATAAAATTGAAATGAAATTAAATGTTCCATACTTAGCGGCCTTAAACTAGGATCGCTTGTGTTACCGCGGAGACCGGTGTCATTGGTCGTCAACAATCACCTTCGCGCCGCGAGTCTGGTTGTAGTGTTGAACGCGGGAACCCCCCTACTCTAACTGAGATCTGACCCCGGACGGAGCTTGGACGTCGGGTGAGAGAGTGCAGGGGAGTCGTTTAATGGGTAGGGTCCTAAATTCCATCCCTTGGGCTTGCGATCCGCTCCCAACATCTGCAGACCGTCCAGTCCCACAAACCCAACGCACCCCCTAGGTGCGGGAACCTCGTAGGAGGTTCAACCCCCGGCCCGAAAAAAAGGATCTTCTGTGTTATGAGTACCATACACGACAAAAACATCCAGACGAAATATCGTAAATAAAGATATAAACTAAATCGGGTATGTAAGTACCTAGACATTATGGACGATATAGTTCAAATTGTAGGCAGCGATTTGGCGGTAAGCGACAGTAACCACTTACCGTCAGGTGGGCCGTATGCTCGTCTGCCTACAGTGCCAATGAACACAAAGTTCAGGTCATTAACTTCTGGAGTCAAGTTGCAGTCAAACGGAAATAAACGTTTTGAGAACTTTAGTTTATGTTAATAATAAAAAAAACTACTGGTTAAATTGTAACTTGAAAACAGTCAATACACAGCATCTGGACTGTATGCTTGAGCCAAACGATCAAATCGCATTCACGTAAACATCTTCAAGAAAAACTAAACGATCCCCACTACTTACGCTACTTCGATGGCTTTTTTAAAAAACGACCGCCCTAAATGCTTTCTATCTCGCTTTAACGCTTCGAAACGTGCGCCCGAAGTGGCTATACCCGTCCCGCTTTAAGGCTTGAGCACGTCAAACAGGCGGGCAATCTATCACGCAAGTTTATTCGTTTGCGGAACGCTTTTGCGGTAAGGCGAGCACCGAGCGCGCGGTTCGAGCACCCCGATTCCATGTGTTTACAATTCGAATGAGCGGCTCGTGTGACCGGAAAATGGATTCGAAATTCAAAAATTTCACATTGCAAGACTGCGAGAAGACAAATCTGACGACGCCATTTTCGATAAATGACATCTTGACGAAAGAAAACGAATCGAAATGCGAATTCGAGAATGGTTTTCGCGCTGAGAGTTACGTGAGGGCGACGAAGCCCTCGTGTTATACTACTAAAGAAGGGTTTTCTATGAAGAAGGAAATTGATAAAGGCTTGAAGTACTATGATGACTGTCACGTCTTCAGAGATTACACGGACGACGGAGCTTTGGACATGACCAGGAAGAACCAATACCCGGTCACAGAACTATCAGGTCAGTATCTGGTGTTTATTGAACAGTAGAATGTCCGGGATTACCACTTATAAACATATCCGTTTTGCCGTGAAGCAGTAATGCGTTTTGGTGTGAAGGGTGGGGCAGCCGTTGTAACTATACTGAGACCTTAGAACTTATATCTCAAGGTGGGTGGCGCATTTACGTTGTAGATGTCTATGTGCTCCAGTAATCACTTAACACCAGGTGGGCTGTGAGCTCGTCCACCCATCTAAGCAATAAAAGAAAAGGCTTAATATGTCATTCTTTTATTATTTTAATATCAGTTTTCGCGAATCGTAAATAAATCTCGAGTTTATATTTACACAATTAACTATGTTTATCAAGGGGCGAAAGACAATATGTATTTGTTATAAGCGACATTTTTGTAACTTCACAGGAGATTCATTTAAAGTTTAAAACTTAAAAAATTTTAGATTAATCAATGGAGAAAACTTTTATTTCTTTATTGAAATAAATTTTAATTAATAAAAAACATCGGACTGTTGATGCTAATACCAAATAAAACGCACTTTTAATTACAATTAAGCAAAATGACGCCTCCTTCCACGCCTCGATAAATATATTATTTTCGGCATTCACGTCATCTGTGATGACCACGAAAACTGTAACAATCAAACAACATCGGCATTGGCATATAATGACAATAATAAAACGCAACGAATATGTAACTTAAAATTTTAATGATAAAAAAGAATTGTCATTAAAATTCATTAAACAAGAAATAAACGAGAGAATTGATTTACTTTAAGCATATTATTCTAAAATTATACCAGCATATATACCTACATATGTCGCTATCTCGCACAACTTTCTTTAAGACGATGCGGAAAAACATATTATAATTTTTATCTATACTAGTAGTCCCCCGGTAATCGAAATTCGACTATAATTAATTGAAATTATAATAATTATTAAAATAATTAAGAAATTAAAATAAGTTTGTGTACTATTATGATTCAAAGACTATTATACTTCTATAATCATAGACTTCGCCAAAAATACGCTTTAGACAAATAATAATAAAGACAAACAATATTTAATCTATTTTCAATTTGACCACAGACTTTATAAGCAATAAGAAAAGTTTGACATTAAACAAATAGTATGCATGCGTGTGTGCGTCAAATACATGGTAGTGTGTGTAATGTTTTTTTATTGATTTAATGTATTTTTTATGAATAATTTAAAAAACTATTATCATTCGGCACTCCTTTTCTATATTTTCTATAAGTGTGGTAAATTTCATACTCCTTCGTCCGCGCGATTTTCGTAAAAGGGGTACAAAGTTTTTGCTTCGCGTATTAATAAATCACTACATAGTATAAAACAAAGTCGCTTTCTCTGTCCTTATATCTGTCCCTATGTATATGCTTAAATCTTTAAAACTACGCAACGGATTTTGATGCGGTTTTTTTAATAGACAGAGTGATTAAAAAGGAAGGTTTACATGGATAATAACATCCATTAAATAGTGGAGAAATCAATAATAAATTAGTTTCCGAAGCGAAGCGAGGGCGAGTCGCTAGTAATCTTACTAGGTATATCTATACCTAAATAAGTAAAAACTTTGTTCCCCTCTTTAAGAAAATTGCGCGGTAAAATTACATTAAATCAATAACAAAAAAACATTACACACACTAACATATATTTGACATACTACGCATATACTCTTTAGTTTAATGTCAAACTTTTGTTATTGTTTAAAGTCTGTGGTTAAATTGGGAATAGATTAATATATTGTGTGTCTTTAATATTACTTGTAGTGTAGTCTTGGCGAAATCTGTGATTATAGAAGAAAAGTCTTTGACAATAAAACCATAATAATGTTCAAACTTTTATTTTAAATTAATAATTATGGTCGAATAGTTTAAATAAATAGGCAGTTAAGTTCAATTTTCTTTATCATAAATCAATCATAGTAGCACTACTGTATGTTACTACAAAACAAAAGAAAACGTGTAGGTACTACATGAAATGAATTTCAATCTTCTGCTCTCAGTGATTATGGTTGAATTTCGATAGCTAGTCGTACAGTAGTTATTACTAAAAGACTTTAAGGTTAAGCATTTTTCAAATTTGACTAACGAACGCTTGAATGGAATAGGTGTTCCAATTCGGTATGTGATATGAAAGGCGAATAAGGGGTTCACCAGATAATGGGCAGCAGAATTTTCTGGGTATTAAACCAGCGTTATGCGATCCCCAACCGGGATTTACTGGTAGGACGTGTGATCATCACGAGTGGGTACCATCATCCTACCTATTCCTGCCATGGAGCAGTCACTACACATTCAAATTACTCAATAATGTCACGTCTGTTTTTTACGTATATAAAAAAAATATGTAAAGTAATGTTTGTCTGGACGAAACTGTTTTGTAATATAAAACAACCGATTGTACCTAATATGGCATTATGATTATGATACTCTACAAATTTTTTGATTTAGGTGATCCAATATTCGATTCTAGCATTATACAGCATTACTCTCTCTCTCTCTCTCTCTTTCTTTTTTCCTGGCTACTCGTCCCACAGGGTGATGGGGTCAACTTTCCTTATTTCTCTCCCACTTCTCTCTGTCGACATCCTCGTCAGTAACATTACATTCCCTTTTATCCTTCAGCACTACATCTTTCCAACTTGTCTCGAATCTTCCTCCTTCCTCCAGTTCTCCGACTGATGGGGTCGACCAACAGAGCAAAATTTCCGATGTGGTCCGATGATTTCCTTTTTACGTTACCATATTATTATATTAAATCTACTCCTGCATCTTGTCGGCGATGTCGCGTATACCAAAGGTTCCTCGCACCTACTCTTTACGAAATCATACACTAATAATCTTATTTACATAATACAACTAATGCTGAAGCGTAAATAAAATATATCTAAAATAGGTTACAAAAAGCAGCCAACTTAATTCTAACAAAAGATTGATTGAATTAAAAAAAAAATTAAACCTCATAATAAATCGATGGGAACATTCGAAATTCAAAATTCAAATTAGCAACAGCCCATAATTACTGGCGGCCAGTAACAATACGAGTGTAATGGCGCGTTCACACCCGGGCCGTGCCTAGCTGCGACGTCGCCACTTAGCCGTCACTTCGCGTGATTACACTAACGCCCTCATTACGCCAAGTGATGACGCTTAGAATCACTATTGAGGCATTCAATTTGGTAATTACTAGGTTTGTATGAAGTTTGGACGCGTTCGAATATCGCTTTTATAGTCACAATACAGTTGTTGAATATTGAAGGTGATTGAAGGAACATAACTGTGATAAAAAAAAAACTAAACAAATTAAATTTGGAAGCTATTAAAACTATCTCGGACAGTCCCACGTAATCACTACATAGTATAAAACAAAGTCGCTTTCTCTGTCCCTATATCTGTCCCTATGTATGCTTAAATCTTTAAAACTACGGAACGGATTTTGATGCGGTTTGTTAATAGATAGAGTGATTGAAGAGGAAGGTTTATATGTATAATAACATCCATTAAATACTGGAGAAATCAATAATAAATTACAGTTTCCGAAGCGAAGCGAGGGCGGGCCGCTAGTATAGTATAGAATAGCATCGGCGCACGTAGCTCTTCGATGACAAACAATTGAATGTTTGTTACAAAAAAAATAATTAAATGACATTGCTAGACATTACATTATATCTACACATATTTAGTCCCAAACCACGAATTAAGCGCAGACATTAAAAGAGTATAGAGGCGCACGCAAAAATACAGTTAGAAGTTACGTAACCGCTCATTCGCCGGCGACTAATGATCGACGACAATTTACGTAATGGATCTATTGTGAACGCGGCTTTATACGCGGATGGCGTGGCACCGTTACCGGTTTAATTGATTCCGTGTTGATGGTCTGTATCTGACTTCCCAATAGAGTTTCGATTTACGATTTTTTGTCTGTGTGTGTGTGAGGGCTACCTACATTAGACGTTACGTCATTTCCAAAGCACCCATAGACTATTAGGCTAATTCGTATCTCATAAAGCTGCATCAGCATGTTAACTACAGTTTGTGTTACAGTTTTGTGGTGGTATCAGTATATATACTGATACCTTGGAACTCACGTATCAAGGTGAGTGGCGGGTGCTAATCTGAGTGGATTAGCTCACCGTTCATAATTGATCACCGGTACCCATAGTATACACTGTTGTAATAAGCATCTATCTCTCATTAATCCAACACAGTGACTGGTATGGTAGCGGTTACTCAGTTAACATTATTTCATTATTTGAGTCGACTATTATCAAAGGCGGCAATCTGACTTTTGGACAATGATTGGTAAATCAGAAAAACGAATTATTGACTTTGTATTCCATTGGCAGTCACAAAACTCTTCGGAACGACATCTTAGATAAATAACAGGTTAACTATTAACCTTTATTTAATGCAGGTTTTGAACCGTATTCTTTGAAGGAGACGATTNTTTGTATTCCATTGGCAGTCACAAAACTCTTCGGAACGACATCTTAGATAAATAACAGGTTAACTATTAACCTTTATTTAATGCAGGTTTTGAACCGTATTCTTTGAAGGAGACGATTATATTCAAATAAATCTGTATTGACATATCAATAAAAAATTTTTGTCCAAATGCACAGATTGCCACCTTTGATAATAGACGACTCATTTATTGTATTGGTTCCTTAATTAATTTTAATTTTATATTAGTAGTGACATAAAATATATTAGTAGTGACAATTTTAATTTTAATAGTTTTGTTTTTGGTCATTCTGATAAATTGTAATTTTAATTTTATTGTATTTTATGTAATTGTATGTGAAATTTTATGGGCTTAAGTTGCCTGAAATAAACGCATTTCATTTAATTTCATTTCATAGTCATCAACAACGTTAATGCCGCCGCGACATTGCGACATGATTTTTAAGTCTCAGTTTATTACAGTACAACGGCTGATCCGCGCTTCCAACCGAAACGCATTACTGCTTCACGGCAGAAATAGACCGGGTAGCTAGCTCACGGGTTCACAAAACGCCCTACCGTTCGTAAAAACTCAAGTTTTACTTTTGTTACAGATGACTACGATTCGCGTTCTTCAAACACCGGATCTCCGTTACGTAGGGCAAACTCATCGCCCAGCTCAGACATTGCCTATAAGCCATTCTCTATGCACTACGAGAGGAAGTGCTCAACGCCTCCCCCTTCCGGGTACGGCATGAACGAATACACACAGAACGCGGGACGTAAGAAGCGTTCAAGGGCCGCCTTCTCGCATGGTCAAGTTTACGAGCTCGAGAGGCGGTTCAGCCAGCAGAGGTACCTGTCGGGGCCCGAACGCGCAGACCTGGCCGTCAGCCTCAAGCTAACAGAGACGCAGGTCAAAATCTGGTTCCAGAACAGAAGGTACAAGACGAAGAGAAAGCAGCTGCAGATGCAGGAAAACGGCATGCTGGCGGCGGCCGCGGCAGCTGCTAATCACGCCAGGAAAGTGGCCGTCAAAGTGTTGGTCAACAACAACGGCCAGCCAAGTCTACCGGATCTCAAATACCACGCGCCAATGTTGGGCAAAACCTTGAACCCCTTATTCGCGCCTCCGCTATTAGAGGGATCCCCGATTTGGAAGCATTTCGCGGGCATGTACGGAGTCGACTTCGCCAAGAACCCGGAATACAAAGCCCTTCTCCAGGAGTCGTACAATCAGGCGGTACTACAGTCCCTGTATGGGCCTCATTTGGGTATGAACTACCCGAATTTGCCGCTCTCGTACATGTATTACCCGGGACATGCAGGGTTCGGGGTGCCCCCGTGCGAAGTCGAGAGGTCGCAGCCGGATAGGACTGAGAGCGGTTGTGGATCAGAGAAGGGGAAAGAGAAAGCCATAGAAACTCAATCCGCCGTTCAACTAAACGAGCACAGCAATGATAGCATCGCTAGTAATATCGAAATAGAAAATTAATATCGAAATAATAACTGTTTGAGAACGGCTTACACTGTACTTCCAAAGATATTGATGGATGATCGGAAGTTGAATTAAAAATGAAATGTTTTTAAGTGTACCTAGACCTAGTTTAGTTTTTGTTAATTGTGAAATTAAAACCAAAGAGGTACCTCCCGGTAAGAAATTTATATTGAAATCCAAAACGGAACTCAACCAAAGAGAACAACCAAAAATATTGTTAGTTATTAGAAATTGTTATAGAAATTTGTTTAGTTGATATTGTATGTTGTAAATATTTTTTTTAATGTAGGTAAATGTTAACAGTTAGAAACGCCGCATCTATGTATATAGTACAAAAAATATGCAGTAAGTTAACTTTGACGGTGCAATAAAGTTTATTCTAAATTTTTGGGTGTGTTCATTAATTTAAAAATTATCTTAGAAATAATTTACTAAAAGTAGTACGGTATGTTTAGTCTCCCGTTTGCGTGGTCCCGGACTTTTTACTGGTGGTAGGACCTCTTGTGAGTCCGCGCGGGTGAGTACCACCACCCTGCCTATTTCTGCCGTGAAGCAGTAATGCGTTTCGGTTTGAAGGGTAGGGCAGCCGTTGTAACTATACTGAGACCTTAGAACTTATATCTCAAGGTGGGTGGCGCATTTGCGTTCTGGATGTCTATGGGCTCCGGTAACCACTTGACACCAGGTGGGCTGTGAGCTCGTCCACCCATCTAAGCAATAAAATATATATAAAAAAAAAGTATCATACATACATATTTTTTTACAGCAACATACGCAAGATTAAACCATAATAGCAGTTTCAATTATCCCTACGACGAAAATACTATTTCAATGGTATTAATATTATAATGGTAATTAATTAGTCGATTAGTTTTTATAGAACTTGTCTCGGAATATCCTCTGAAGATTCTTCGCTGCTGCATTTTGAAGCAGTCACACACTTCATTAATTTAACATTGACATTAATTTTACATATAATTGGTTTAAAAGTTCCGGCATTTCGAATCATCTTTATCAAAAAAGGAGATCTTTCTTAATTTGAGCTGTGTTTTTCTTACTTAAGAATACAAAAAATATATATACCTAGTCAGGTCATAAGTATTGTCACACAGTAAAAACTTTTCTTTTAGAATGCTGGCCACAAAAAAGTTTACTGAATTCGAATTTCGAATTGTTCATGAAAATAAAAATGTATACTTTTAGAAATTTTACTCATTTTTAAATATGGAGTGGACGCTTAAAGAAGACCGTGTTGCAGTTATTGCGTTGCATCGTTGCGGTTACGCGCCAATTCAAATTTTTAACATACTGAAAAATTTTAATATAACCAAAAGATTCGTTTATCGTACCATCAAACGATACAATGAAGACTCTAGTGTAGATGACAGGTCAAGAAGTGGTCGCCCTCGGTCTGTTAGGACTCCAGCAGTGATAAAAGCTGTGAAGGCGCGAATTCAAAGAAATCCCAAACGTAAGCAGAAACTGTTGGCCCTTCAGATGGGGTTAAGCAGAACCACGGTGAAAAGGGTGTTAAATGAAGACTTAGGGCTTCGGGCATATCGAAGAAAAACAGGACATCGTTTGAATGCTCGTCTAATGGACCTGAGACTGAAGAGATGCCGCGCTTTGTTGAAGCGGTACGCGGGAAAAAAATATCGGGAAATTCTTTTTTCGGATGAAAAAATTTTTACCGTAGAAGAGAGCTACAACAAACAAAATGATAAGGTGTACGCACACAGTAGTGAAGAAGCGAGCAACCGTATTCCGCGTGTCCAACGAGGTCATTTTCCATCCTCGCTCATGGTATGGTTGGGAGTTTCTTATTGGGGCTTAACAGAGGTACATTTTTGTGAGAAAGGTGTAAAAACGAATGCAGTTGTGTATCAAAATACAGTCCTGACGAACCTTGTGGAACCTGTTTCTCATACCATGTTCAATAACAGGCACTGGGTATTCCAACAAGATTCGGCGCCAGCTCATAGAGCGAAGAGCACACAAGACTGGCTGGCGGCGCGTGAAATCGACTTCATCCGGCACGAAGACTGGCCCTCCTCCAGTCCAGATTTGAATCCGTTAGATTACAAGATATGGCAACACTTGGAGGAAAAGGCGTGCTCAAAGCCTCATCCCAATTTGGAGTCACTCAAGACATCCTTGATTAAGGCAGCCGCCGATATTGACATGGACCTCGTTCGTGCTGCGATAGACGACTGGCCGCGCAGATTGAAGGCCTGTATTCAAAATCACGGAGGTCATTTTGAATAAACTTTAGTGTCATAAGAATCTATGTTTTGTTAAGTTCATTTTGGTATATGAATGGTTACATAATGAATAAACTTGTTTCAATTATTTTACATTAAACATGTGACAGAATTTATGACCTGACTAGGTATAAGTTTTTTGGATATTGATGAATCTGTTCATTTCGCCAAGCGTGCTATTTTGAAATAGCTTCAAATGACAATGGCTTCGAGCTATACTCGAAATTATTTTCTGATCATATATTCGCTGATAGCCTAAGGGAATATTCTAGCTAAGCGCGGACGGGTAAGTGAGTTCATAGACTCAACCTGAGAGGATTTGCTAACACTGGCCCTGGCAAGAGCAATGCATCGCAGAATCTACCACCGAATTGGAATCGCTACCCATTTAGCAGATCCGGCGAGAAACTCAATGGGTTGTATCTATCAAGGGACTCACCTGTGTTCACGTCTACCAGACAAAGCATCTGTAGGATTAGTTAGCCAAAAAAATTTTCGGACTCAAATGCAAAATGACGCTTCTTTTATATTGCGTTAATTTTAATATTCTCATTGGGAAATTCCAGTTGCATGTTAGATAGAGAGAATAAAAAAATTAAAACACTATTACACTTACACTATCTCGTTTATACTTTATTTGTTTTAAAACTACGTTTCTAATATTTTATACCTTCTGTTTACTTGACGACTGTGTTAATTTGGTTTGTGATTTCTCCTGCTCCTCGCGTCGTTTCCTGACTGCTGAGGGTCGTGACCATTATAATTAGACATGATTTTACTCCTTGTAATGTCCCGCCAGCGCCTCCGATCATTGGCCACATGAAGGGCGTCGTGGAATGGGATCTCTAGTGTGGTGCGGATTTGGTCGAACCACCTTGTCGAACTGCGCCCGCGCTGTCTCTTTCCCTCGACCTTCCCTGTCACGAATAGTTTTTCTAAGCTATCCGGTGTTTTCCGAGCAATATGACCGAAGTACTCGAGTGCGCGGCGAAGGCAGAGTGTGGACAGTCTAGTCCTGATCTGCAGTTGATCTAAGATAGACTGATTGCTTCTCTACGCTGTCCAAGGTATCCAGAGCATTCTTCTCCAGCACCACATCTCAAAAGCATCCACGCGTTTGCGATCAGCCGCTTTAAGAGTCCAGATCTCCGCTCCGTATAGAAAAATGGAAAAGACCAGAGTGAGCACCAGTTTTGTCTTTGCACCAGGTTTGTGATTTGGAGCGCTACAAATAAAAACGCGATTTGAAATTGAAATTTAACGTCACTGCGGGTGAGCAATCCCAAGACGCTGTTTCTGTCCGAGTATCCTTCACGTAAGTGTACTCCTGCAGTAAAGAAAATAATTGGAGGACTTATACACATTATTGTGTTCAATTGTTCTGGAAAGAAGTGTTTTAAGGAACAATTAATATCTGAACATTCACTAAACTATCTAAATAAAAAATAAGAAACTATCTAAAAAAGTTATTTTATATGTTGATATAGATAATGAATTGGCAAACAGTTAATTTTTTTTAGAGGGTCGATGATGTATTTAAAAAAAATGGAAGTAGTTAAACGAAAAAAGGACAACAGTTAAGTGTCGTTATCTTCTTTGTTTGATAGCCGATTACTTTTGTTTCTTTGCTCACAAGATTGCTGAATCACGGAATGGTTCAAAGAAAATTGCACTCTTAGTCGAGTTTTTGCAAGTATGGAGAATGCTTTTATTACTATAAATAAAACGGTTCGTCTTAAAAAAGAACTCGTCTGAAGGTCGAATGTTTTAGAAAAGTTCCCGAGGTTGTTCTATTGCTAAGTTTTAATTGATTTTTTTAACGATTATTAACGTTTATCAATTTTTTTTTTAAATTATTATTCGATTAATTAAATTTTAATTTGGAAGGAATAATAAGGATATTTGATTTTGTTTTTAATTCAAATATTCACTAACCCATCTCATTTCTTGAACGCGATACTTACGGATAAAATCGTTTTTAACTAACATTTTAGGCATGCTATTATTAAAATTTAGAAATAATGTAGATGAAAATTAAAATTATTAATATAAATATAAATAATCCCTCTCCACTTGTCGAATGTTCTTCAATGAATTAACATATGAATGCAGTCGTCTTGGGTGACGCGAGGGAAGGTGACATTATGAAAATGCCAAGCTTCTACTTCCGGACGAAGAAATTCTTAGGGCTTCTTCAACCAGTACGACCGAAAATAGGGTTGGCACAAGTGCTGGCTGAAGTTAGCTTATCATGCATTAGTAATTGTGATGTATCGAGCCATTACGAAGTATACCAATCTCATTACAATGTTTTTTTTTATTTTTATTGCTTAGATGGGTGGACGAGCTCACAGCCCACCTGATGTTAAGTGGTTACTGGAGCCCATAGACATCTACAACGTAAATGCGCCACCCACCTTGAGATATAAGTTGTAAGGTCTCAGTATAGTTACAACGGCTACCCCACCCTTCGAACCGAAACGCATTACTGCTTCACGGCAGAAAATAGGCAGGGCGGTGGTACCTACCCGCGCGGACTCACAACAGGTCCTACCACCAGTAATTACGCAAATTTTAATTTTGCGGGTTTCACTTTTTTTATTACACGATGTTATTCCTTCACCGTGGAAGTCAATCGTGAACATTTGTTGAGTACGTATTTCATTAGAAAAATTAATACCCGCCTGCGGGATCGAACACCGGTGCATCGCTTCAACACGAATGCACCGAACGTCT